GAGGTACTCGTCATACACTCCTTTAGCTGTCATTTTCCAGTACTCGGCCTCTTTCGATTTCTCGTCCATCGTGCACCAAACTCTTGTTTTGCTTCTCTGACCTGGGCCAATTCCAAGATTGCATCCTGACGATGACCACCCTCGATAGCAATCATCTGATTCTTCTTCGACACGTCGGATTCATACTGTTTGATGATCTCTTCCTTCTCGCGAAGCAAGCATTCTGCTCTTTTCGATTCTTGCTCTGCAAAAGTCGTAACGTCGTTCAGTCTCGTCATCAGCTGCTCCCTGGAGTCCTCCATCGAGTACACCTCGGGGCGTTTGACGAGTGCATGTTCCAACTGTCATTTCAGACTTCGAACCATCTCCTCTTCGTTGAACTTCTTGATAGATGTAGATGATTCAATACCTCTGATCTGTTGCTGATACACTGATATCTGTTGTGAAGCCTCACGGTGTATCTGATTTGCATGTATTGCTGATTCCTGTGCAGCCGACTTCTCGCTTGCCATATAGGATCTCATCACTGCAATCTCCCGTTTCTGCTCCATTATAGTTCCCTCAGCTTGTCTCATCTGTAGCATCATAACATTCGACTCCATGTCCTTCTTCTCCCCGTATTGATATGCGTTTATTTCCACCTTGCGCATCTGTTGGGCTTCCTCCTCAAACTTGCTCCAGGCCTCCGCCATGTGATGTTGGTGATGACTTACAAGATGTCCCGATTGCTTGCTGGCAATCTCACATCGTCTCTCCAGCTCTTGGATCCGGATGGTGCTCCCATAGTTTTCTTGGTGAAGATTCGCCATTGCTGCCGACATTTCATCAAGTGTCTTCTGATACTCCCCGATCTCCATCTCCATCTTATTCTTTTCTTTGATCGCGGCGCGAAACTCGGCACTCGTGGGTGATTTGGATCTCCCACCTTTCGATGTCGACCTCACGCCCTTCTGCGACGTCCGCGGTGTCGCAGGTGAAGATGATGATCTTCTTGGTGGAGATTCTCTTTGCTTCGACTCCTGATGAATAGCGATCTGTTTCCATGACCTCGTAGGTGTAGACATATCGCTGAATAGTGCGGATCCTCCGCTCCCAGGTTCGTCCTGTGAATCTGCAACCAAATCCATCACCGCAGGAAGAGCCATCAATCCATTTGATCCCTCTGAGCTGTCGTTCCCAAAAGTTGCAGTACTTGGGCTCGCTGAAGATGCCATTGTACCGTGTAGGTTGTTGTCCCTCTATTGTTCCTGCACCCGCAATAAACCAGCTGTCTCTCCGTCCAGTGTAGAGCTTGCCGATACGGCTGATAACCTGTCAAGAGACGGCAAGGTGACGTCCCGTGGGACGCTGTCCACCGAACCCTCCAGCTTTGTACCCAACCACGTAGAAAGGTGTATACGGTCAAACCGTTATAGCCGAACCCGTGTAAACTGTTGTAAGGGATAAGAACCAATAACCACGATGGTGTTCCCGGCAGCTGCAGCACGAATGAAGTATTTTCCACTCTCTATGGTCGATCACGTACAAACGTAGTTCATGCAAGACCTTGAGCCCTACTCGTGACTTGAGCCAAATTTGGCAATCAATGGAACCATGTAACCAACACCAACACGGACCTCAGGACAGCTTCCCAATTTAGGCACGGGGCCAGGAGGGTTTTAACAAGAAGAGTTTCGATCTTGGATGTGAATATGAGGAACTCACTGTTCTGCCTCCGAAAATTAAAGAAACTGAGGAGCCTGTAAAGATACACGGTCGTGGTACCCTTCAGGACGTACTGCTTCAGCGTGTTCAGTTGACAATCCAAGCGTCAAAGAAAGCCTTTGCCAAGCAAACTTGGTGGAAGACTTGATTTCGCTTACCCGAAAATACGGCCGCTTCGTGGTCAGTTGGCCTTTATGGATACATGCTCACACACACAGGCAGCCCGCACTGGGCCAGATCCTTTTTCGGCAAAGATTTCTATACACTGGTCAGCGGACATCTCACAAGCCGCAGTTTCGTTCTTGCCTCCCTGCGAAAGAGCTGGGGGAACGAGCCCTTAGGGCTTCAGCCGTAAAAAATCCACGATTTGGCCATGTTCCACTTCTTGAAAAAACCTGAAGGCCTATCAAACGAGCTAATTCAATGCCCTAAACAGAATGTGCCTGGGGCTGCCCTCAAAGACGTAGACTTAAAGCGTCCCCCCGCGCCTTCGTTGCGGCTGTGATTGCGTGTCGAGGCGACGGTTGCACAGCAAAGCCGTGGGCTCAAAACCTCTGGGCGAGGCTCAGGCAGTTTCACTGGGCATTTGCCTCAGTCCAGAAGGATCTGGTAAGAGACGTTTTTGCAGTAAAGCTCCACTTGTTACTTCAAGTTGTCACAACCTGAAGCTTGAAGAGTGCAGGTTGGCAAGCAGCTTCGCCACGACAATGCTCACACCCTGTTCAATGCCAGAGCGGCCCAATGCGCGCGCGAGCTGGAAACTGAATGTTGCAAGGTTTCAGTTCCGAATGTTGGAGAATCAACCGCATCCTCGTTCACGAAACAATTTGCGGATGCGGGGATGCCACTGGAGGACTGCATTCTGACACTGGACGCATGTCTTTCAACCGGGGGAAACTGTTGCCTGGATCAGCCTGGTGTTCACCCATACGAATCAAAGCCTCAGGTCCACAAACCCACAGCCATCTGATTGCATGATTTCAAAGTGCCACGTGAACTGCTTGCAGTCGAAACTTGACCAGGCTTACAAGGCGCTTGTCAAGGAGTGCCAGCCGCATGCCCTTCACGAGGGGCGGGGGGGTGGCAATCAAGGCAATCATTCTGAGCCTCAGGACGGGCAAGCAATCGCTTCATGTAACAAGGCACGAGGTGAAGTAGCAAAAGAGCGCTCACACTGAACAAAACCGCCTCTGCAAGCCCGCGATGAACCCGCGGGGGAGTTTCCCCAAAAGGGCCTGACATTCTCGCAGTTGCAGTCAAGGTACAACTGGTCGCTGGCAGGGGGCCGAACACAGGCTTAAGCCCCTTTCCGCAGCCTGCCTGGGGTTATGTGAAAGGTCGCGCGATGAATGCGCCGTCTCCCGCACTTGCGAGGGAAGCACGGCTGGTAGCCGAGACTGGCCATTTGGAGGGCAGGAGGCCACATGCGCAGCATAGCATTGCGACAAGGGCTCAGGAGCACATGCTCCACAGCCAAAGCGGCATGACCTTGTTGCTAGGAAGTGGGATGCCTAGTTGGAGCTGACCGCGCTCACGCAGCGGCGCAAGTGTTCTTTGGCACATGGCTCACGGTCTGAGCCGTCTGACTCCAAGTGACACGATAACCCCGTCAAAGACAGGCCGGGCCCCTGCAATTGCCAACAATTGCCAAGGTTTCCGGCTTGAAGAAAACACCATGATCCAGGCCACATTTTCATGCAGCCCAGGTTGCCATCAAAGGTCCGCACCTACATGTACAGCTTCCCTTGAAGGCCTCAGCTGCCAAAGGATTCTGGTGAAAGTGACGATATTTGCGCACGTAAAATGATGAGCAGCTGGCTTGTTGCTTTCAGCGCCATTGCCGCCTGCTTTTTGCCTTTTCCAGACCTGCTGTGTACAACTGACGTCTGCTCCCAATAAACTGTGCTAACGGCCAGTGTTGAGGAGTGGCACATGTTCCCATGGGTGTCAGCTGGCAGCTGATTTGGGCCGCGTTGTGTTGTTTTGTTTAAAGTAAAGGCCAAACCGGTCTTCTTTAGCAAGTAGATTTTCTGGATACAAGTAAGGTCGCTTTTTGGGGCCCTATGTAAGTCCACTTCAACTTCAAGTTCTTCGGAGTGCTGCGTGAGTTGCGCGCGCCTGGCCTGGATTTCAAATGACGTGCCGGCAAAATTTGCTGTTCACAGTAAGTACGGTCGAATTCAGAGAGCCCCCCATCGCTTTCCAGCGTTTGGTCTATAACGCAAAGTTGTCGTTTTTTGAGAGTCCCCTATCGTTTTCCATGGTTTCAAGCACCTTGAACTATATGGATGTCCAAGTGTAGACTACTTTCCTTTTCCGTAAATTCTGACCGCGCTTCAAATGGCAAGCAGCCAGACCAGGCGAACTCTATGATATTGCAGCACGCATACGCAGGATTCCACATGCAAAACTGGCCTGCGCCAGCAAGCACGCGCCGTGGCGTGGATCCTTGCTCGCTTTTGTCACGCGGGCTTTACAGGGCAAACGGAGGAGATGCTGCTGCAGAATCCAGAGAAACCTGCAGGAAGGTTTGAAGCTGTCGTCTTGTTTAACTGATGGAAAACATTGCTTGCAGGACAGCATCAACTGAATTCCCGCTTAGCACTGCAAGCGGCACAAACGCATAAACACCTTCAAGAAGCGCAGCGAACAAAGGCAGTCAGGCCGGCCCCCGGGCCCGGAGCAGCCCTGTGCTGCGTCAGAAAGCCGAGTCATCGTCCAGGTGCCAGGCAATACCCCGACTGAACCAGCTGCGAAGGTTGCGCAACACGAGCCCCGCAAAAAGCGGACAGAGGCTGTTGCCTCAATCTGTTGCCTCAAGACGTGGCGGGCGAATGTTTTTCAAGCCTCAGATCTGTGCCTAAAGAAACCCGCAGGCAAAGTGGCCGCAGTCTAGAGCAGCTGGCCAAGCCGGCTGCAAAGGATCACCTTGGGTGCCACGCTGCCTCAAGTGGCCACACCTGAGGAGATGGGAATGAGCAAAAGCAAGTATTAGCTTTGTGCCATGTTCCTGACTAAGGGGCGCAGGCGGGGTAAACAAACAAACTGTTCTTATGCGAGGGCTGAAGCGATGAGTAGGCTTTGTTGACAAAGGCTGGCCGACAGGAAAACCTGAACCTGCTGAGAGCAAAACACACGTCTGCAAGCTGAGAGTCTTCGACAACGCCGGCCTTCACAGGCATACGCGCCTTGTGAGCGCATGGTCAGCTGGCAAGTCAACAAGAATGGATCTGCAGCGTAGTCTGTAAGAATAAGAATCTTCTATAAGTCGTCAGCCGACATCTCCTTCACTGCCCTCACATCGCCGCTTTGCTTGCGCGTGCGGGCAACAACTTGAGGAAGCGTGCCGGGCAAGCAACAACTAAAGGCAAAACCAATGGGGTATCCAAAAAAGCCAGTATTCTATCCGATTTCTGCGAAACCCAAGCCTCGCCCACAAACTTCTGCAAACCCTGGCCCCTTCTGCAAACTTCTGCCCTGGCACCCCGCGTGATCTGCAACCCCCACGCCCCCTCTCGTGAAGTTTCTGTCCCCTCCCCCCTTCTCACGCACTCCTGGCCCCGCTTCTGCGAACAGGTCCCTTGCACGAACCGCGGAGCCAAGCGCGGCACCACGAAGCCGAGCAAGTTCTGCAAACCTCCAGCGACTTCTGACCACTGCGTCAGGCAATGCGCACACTTCTCCAGACTGCGCACCCCGTTGATTTTCTTCTCTCTGAAAACCCCAAGTTCATGGATGACAGGAGGCTCTCTAGAGCCTTGGCTTTTCCCTCTGATCAGCAGTATCGTACAAGCCAGACACCGCACATTGCGAACACTGCAGTAACTCATATGTTTTCTCCGGATATGCGCTTGCCTTGCCCAGCGCCACTTAAATGGCTACAGCTGGAGCATCACGTCACATGCTGCACGGCACGCGCTCACTACCAGAAGTACACGTTTTGGACGGCGTGGGATGTCAGTTATGTCCACTTTTGTCCTCAGAGATGTCGTTGTCTGCGTTGCGTTAGGCTTTCACGCTAGGCGGGTGAGCTCCAACACCATTGCCGATCTGAGCTCAGCCGCAGAGAAGCCCATGTGCCTGAGAAATCTGAGAACGAGTCTGGAATGTGAACTCGGCCATTTCTGGGGCCTTCGTGAAGCGGGCGCCTCAATCTTCGAAGGTGCCAGATCGGAGACTTCGGATCCGGGAGCCTTTGCATCGGGATGCTTCGAGATCTTGGAGCGGGGGTCCGGAGCCGTGGCCAGCTGAACCCGTCTTTTGCTGACTTTGCATCCTTCAAACTTGGAGGATTGCAGCACGGAGCAGGTTGTTCACATTCACCTGGCGCGCCCTGTGCACAACTAGACGTGTGGGGCCATGATATGGATAAGCTCACGCCTGAAGGCCCAATTCTTGGACCTGCTTGGCTTAGTTTTCACAACGGCTACCATTTCAGCCTGCAGCCGACGGCCGAGACGCAGAGCACACCGGGCTGGGCCCGCGCCGGCTGAAGCTCTCACGGGGCAGGCTGGGCCAACACTGACCCTCCAGAATCCGTGAAGCTGGATCTCAGACGTTGCGTCGCCGGGCTTCCAGGGCAAAGGGGGGCAGCAACAAATCAGATCGACGTGAAGCCGCGATTTGGCCATTTCACGCTCAAGCACTGCACCATCGAAAGCCAACGCCATCAACTCTGAAGCTTCAGCCTTTGGGCCGCTCAGTTTCCCAGGCAACAACAAACACTCCGCAACCCTGTCTGGGCTCCTGCGAGCATCACAAGGCCTGGAAAGCAGGTCTGGTTTTTCACCAGCCGTGGCCGGAGGTCGAAGCGCCAATAGCCTGGCCGCGAAATCACCGCGCGTCGCACTGGAGCTGTCTGACATTGCCTGGGCCAGGCCCTAACCCAGACTTTGGCTGCACGGTGGCCCAGCTTAATCTTGCTGGCCTTGCTAAGATGCCGCAACTGGACCAAGCTTGGAGCTCAACAAACTCAGCTGGTGCCACACGCTTGCGGCTTTCCTGCAGGGAGCTGCGCTTCTGCCGGTGCGTGCACTCTTTGCAATGAATCCGGATTTGGCGAGCAGTGCCCGCTGCGGCAGCTTCCAAGCGGCGAAACTTGTTGGGCACAAAACAGCCCTGACTTGAGAACCGGGCTTCAGGGGTCTGAACCCCAAATATCCGTTGCTCAGCCTGAGCAATGCAAATCTTTAACGCCACTTGTCTTACCACGGACTCAGCTTGAAAGATAAATCGAAGTTATGGGCAACATCAGTCCACGCGAAATGCGGGTGCCTGATTGATTTTGGTCCTGCACCGAAAGCATACCAATGACAGGCTGAAACATTCGCTCTGCAAAAGCGCTGACGGGGAGGGCGTGCCTCCGGAATCGCCTGATTGCTCGGAATCCAGGGCTCCACTTTTATCTCACACCACGCGGTGCAATGACATCCACAATTTCACTTTGCAAAACCTCAAATTCTGCTCAATTAAAAGGATGCCGCAACCAGTTAGACTGTGTCCAACGCCCCTCCGAGAGGTGAACTGGAAGTGCTTTCTTGGAGCCAACGCGTGCCTTCATTGAGCCTCTTGCGTTTGCGAGCGGCCCCCAGGACCCTGAGGGTCCAAACGAAGTGTCACGAAGCAAAGTGATGCGCAGGCCTCTGCGGGCTCATTGAACCGCCAGGCCCGGGCATCTTCGCAGGGCATTCGTGCCTGTACCCCGTACGCCGTCTAAGGCCAAAAGGATCAGGTAGAGGTCACAGGGAGTATACTGGGCGCAAATGACTTGGGACTCATGGGGTCAAGGGGGTATATGCAATTGAGCATGTTTTCGCATGATGACTTGGGAGTAAACTGCACCCTGGTCGCAAAGACTACGAGAGTTGGGACTTGGCAAAGTTGAAACGCTTGAAAAACTGTGCGCAGAATAATGTTGCCTTTTGCCTGATGACATGGGACTTTCGAGTGATTGCAGGGGCGCTTCAATTTGCTTACAGCACATTTCCCTAGCCTTATCTACGCCTCTTTTAAGGCAGGCGCTGAACAAATTTGCCGAATCTGTTTCTTCTCTGTTTCTTCTCCGCACGACTTGGGACCTGTAGGTGGGCGAGCCTTGGGAAAGGCAAGGGCCTTACAATGTTCTTTTCACATGATGCCACCCCGCAAAAGGCTCTGTGAAGAACCCATGACACAGGACTTAATCATATTTTCAAGTGTGTAACTTGCACGCTACGGGCTTCTAGGATTGCCTCATGACTTGGGAACACTCTGGCGGGTGGGGTCGCCCACATACTCCCAAGTCATCTGCACCCAGTATAATTCCTGACTGCCCTCAAGAAGACAGCACAAGGGCTGACATCAAAGCTTCGCGTCTTCTCAAGAAACGAAGTGTCACGAAGCAGGCATCTGCGAGCTCATTGAACCGCCAGGCCCGGGCATCTTCGCAGGGCATTTGTGCCCGTACGCCGTCTAAGGCCAAAAGGATCAGCTACAGTCGGCAAAGTCGATGCGACCGGGTCACATCAGGGTCACATCACCTCCACGTTCGCACGCTAATGTCACGGACTTTGGTCACTGCAGCTTCTGGGAACATGTGTTGCGCCTACGAAAGAACATCGCCGCGACAGGGTAACGTCAGGGTCACTGCAATCAGCCGAAGCCCATTGGCTGCAACGCCGCAGCAAGAAAAACAAGGTAGTGAGGCAGCAACAGCTAAAGCGAAAGCCAAACGCAACCTAAATTCAAGAATCGATGCGACCCTGCTACAATGCTTTCCCCAACGGCAGGGAGACAATCAAGCCAAATCGATGCGACTAGCCTACTTGACTGTAGAGGTCACAGGGAGTATTTCCTGACTGCCCTCAAGAAGGCAGCACAAGGGCTGACATCAAAGCTTCGCGTCTGTTCGAGTCACATTTTGGGCACGGCGCTTCACAGCTTACCTGCTGGGTGCAGCAGGCCAAGATGGCAGAGGAAGCCGGCTGTGCGTGGTAAGGCGGGCATTCAAGCTTGCTGCGGCAACTCAAGTACTCCGGCGCTCTCCAGGAGCCACCACCTGAAGCAACGCCCTCTCAAGCGAGCACATTGGCAAACAGCCTGGTGTACAACCCAGCTTGGCCACGACAATGCTACTGATGAGTGGAAAAGAAACACCATAAGCCATGGGTTGCACCGGGTCGACCAAAGCTCCGCTCACGGCTACTGGATTGCCTTGGTCATCTAATGCTCCTGACGCGGCAGGATACACCAAGCCGCCCAAAACCCGGGACCCAAGCCGGGAAGGAGGTGAATATTGCGAGCAAGTACATATTGCACCCAATGATGTTTCATTTTAAGCTCCATGTAGGGAATCAGGGATATCCTCGCTTGCGCCACCTGTGCAGAAACTGACCTGTCATAGCTCCGAACTCTCGGAAAGCTGGGCACGTGCCTCTAAAGTTTTTAGAACGTGCCTGAACACATGTGGAGCTGATCATGTTCCATAGCCAGGATTTGTGCGACTTGAGCGCATCATGGGCGCTGTGAAATCATGTGCGACCTGCGACAAGCCTAAGGTTCTTGGACTTGTACCCAACAAACTATAACGAATCAGGCATCCAAAGGTGGAGGAACAAAGGCGGCCCCTCCACCATTTAATGGTGGTCGTTCCTATTTGCCACCAGATGACGCAGGCCGGCCCCCACTCCTGACGCCGGGCACGTCCAGTTGCCGCAGCAGTCAGCAGCACAGCTGCAGGCGTTGGTACCTGACAAGGACGAAGACTTTCCTGCCTGGACCAGAAGATGGTATGGCAGGAAGATTTGCAAACGCAGAAAGCGCCGTGGAGTTTATGAACTTATCAAAGCGCTCTTTGGTGTTCATTCGGACTTGGGCGCGCTACCACTTGTAACTTTAGCTTACAGCGGCCACCTGGTCGACCACCTCAAGTCAAGTGACACAAACAATGCATGGCGGCAACAGTATGGCACTTCAGTAGGCGCGCAAAGGCAGCTGACTGCAGGCCTTCGCCCGATGCAAAAATGAACCGCGCCCAGGTCCAGCAACCTGGCCACGTCCCAGGCATTGTATTCACAAGGCGGGGTGTCTCGTGGGTCCATAATATGCACCAGCCCGTGCGCCCCCAACCAAAGCATTGCCAGAAAGACTGTCAAAATGCGATTCGCACGAGCTTAGATTGTGGCTGCACCTGGCCTGCGATGGGGCTGGATTCGCCTCCATTGCTCGCCGAATCCCACTCCTTTTCGGCGACCAGAAGCTTGTTGTAGGATGCAAGTAACTGGATATAGTTAAGTTGGACTCTGGGAATTCAAAACTAACAAGTTTCGCTGCCTGAAGTGTAGTTCGCTGCCAACCATGCACGCCGCGCATGTAAGCTGGAGGTTTTGAAAAATACTGTTGCGGAAGAATGACTTCTCGCAAAAAGATTGTGTGGGCATCAATAACCTGTGATTTCATGAGCGTCCTTGCTAGATTCACTTCTGGATCTGTTTTGACCCTTCTTACGCTTGGGCCTGCACAGCTCATTGCGGCATTTTCTCCGAAGCTTCAGTGAACCAGCTGCACTTGGTTTGCACTTTAGTGACTTGCTTTGTACCCAGCCGGGTCAAGGGCCACAGTCCTACAAGGACATGGGAGGACAATGCACGTATTTAGCGAGCGCTCGCGCGGGTTTGACAAGAATCGCCCGCGTCTCGCAGAACGCGCGTGTCCTAAATGAACTTAGACGCCCCTGTGGGCGCAACACAGAGTCGGCGGCGTTGCACTACCCATCTGGCACGGCGCGCAGGTCACCGTCGACGCCACCATCGTCAGCCGTTTGCGCCTGAATGGCAACCCATACCCATGTGCACCGTTCCTGGAGTGGCACATATTCTCATGGTGTCAGCTGGCAGCTGATTTGGACCGCGTTGTTCCCGAAAGGGCTCTTCCGTGGGAGCTCTTGGTCAACTTGCGCAGAGTAGCTTGCACAGAGTCACCAGCATGGAGATACCAGGAGCTCTTGGCCAACTTGCGCAGAGTAGCTTGCACAGAGTCACCAGCATGGAGATACCAGCATGGAGATACTCGCGCAGAGTTACTAGCACAGAGTAGCTTGCACAGAGTTACCAGCATGGAGATACTTGCACAGAGTCACCAGCATGGAGATACCAGCAGGGAGATACTTGCACAGAGTCACCAGCATGGAGTCACCAGCATAGAGTTACTTGCGCAGAGCCAAGTGCAAGGAGCCAAGTGCACAGAGCTAAGTGCGCAGAGCCAAGTGCAAAGAGCGAGGTGCATCGAGCCAGGCGCATAGAGCCAAGTGCATAGAGCTAGGTGCATAGAGCTAAGCTAAGCTAGGTGTAGAGGCTCGGCGCTAGCAGCTGTGTAAGCTAGGTTAAGTAAGTTAGGTTAAGTACGTAACGCGCGGGAAAGAAAGAGAAAGCGCTCGGTATTAAGAATCTCTTTCTTGGCGGGGGGTGGGGATGTTGCCGGCGATCGGGAATGCGACCTTCTGCGGGATCGGCGTGGTCGAGGTGCAAAAACTCGAGGTTTTTTTTTTTTAGTTTTTTTCGGTGCGCGCGCGACCCTCTGCGGGGATCGGCGTGGTCGAGGTGCAAGAACTCGAGGCTTTTTTCGTATTTGCGGTGCCCGGATGAACCCTCTGCGGGGATCGGCGTGGTCGAGGTGCAAAAACTCGAGCTTTTTTTTGCGTTTTTTTTGCGGTGCCCGCGCGACCCTCTGCGGGGATCGGCGTGGTCGAGGTGCAAAAACTCGCGGTTTGTTGCGTTTTTGACATTCCCGGATGAACCCGGCGTGGTCGAGGTGCAAAAACTCGAAGGGTTTTTGCGTTTTGTTGCTTGCGAAGTGGTCTTTGGCAATTGTCTCGTGGTTTGCGCGGCTG